AAACCCTTCAGTCCCAACCCTCATGATGGCGTTCTCCCTCTTCTGAAGCCTGATCACAGCCTCAGAGCAAGCACAATCCAGGGGCCGTTTCCGAGCTCCCGGGCTCCAAGCCCACTGCCCATCCCTGCCCATCAGCCCCTGCCCGGTCTTCGCCTCCCAGTTCCTTGCCCCGTCTACCCTGCTGTCTCTGTCCTTATCTGTCCCGAGTCTATCTTTGTCTCTTCTCGAGTCAGGCTGTCTGCAGCAGAGGCTTCGCAAGAGTGGAGGTGCTGACAGAGTGGGGTGTGGGGAGGACACTCCGCGTCCCTTCTTGGGCCTTATCGGGAAAACTGAAGTCATTGCTCAGGGCTCAGGCTGGAATTTCGCCCTAGATGACCTTGCCCGGTTTGCTGGGGCCTCCGCAGGGACCGCCAGGGTCAAAGGAGTCAGGAAGCAGGCCCTGCTCGGCGGCTCCCCCGCCCCCTCCCGGCCGCCTCCAGCCCAGCCCGGTCCGCGGAGGACGCCGCGGGGGAGGGGCGGCGCCTGTCCCAGGCAGCCAGAGGGGCAGGGCCGGGGGTCGTGCGTGTGCGTGTCCCTGCAGTCGTGGCCAAGGACCAGGTGGAGGTCCTCAGGGGCCTGAGCAGGGACAGGGAGGCGACCCGACCACCTCCCCACAGCCGCAGGCCTGCACCGGCGGGGAACGGCGGGGAGAGGCCCTGTGGTCGGGACACCTGGGCTGTTCCAGAGCCGTCACTGCCCGTGTCCCCTTGGGCACCTGCCTAGATTCCTGAGCCTCATTTTCCGCACCTTTAAAATAGAAAAATAGCGCCAACTTTCTGGGTTGTGGGAGATAAAATGAGACCACGTAAGGCTGGCTCTCAGCAGGCGCTCAGCGCCAGTGGCCTTCCTCACCCGTTAGCAGGACCCGAGGGGGTTCATGCGACAGCTGCCCAGGCCGGGCCCAGGCGCCTGGTCCGGGCGGGAACCCGCAGCGCGGCGCACGTCTGCCACCTGGCGGCCGCGCGTGCGCAGGACACACGCAGGGTCCCTTTCCCCTGACTGGGAGCGTTTCAGTGCCGGGAGGTCTGGGACCACTTCAGGACCTGCCGTGCAGGTGGCGCTTGTGGAGGCGGGGGCGGGTGAGCAACCCGCGTGTTCCTATTACAAATAAAACTAAGTGTAGGCTTGGAAGGATCTGGAAGGGGAAGGTGAGATTAGAGCGAAGCATCTTACTCTCTTTGATACCTGCTTTTTCTGTTTTCCTCAGTGGGTATGTGTTACTTGGTGAGAAGAAAAAAAACTACAAAAGTTATTTATTTATTTATTTTTAATCATATGGAGAAAGAGAAAAGGGGCCTAACTGACCTGTCCATCAAGGGAATTCCGGAAGTTTACAGCCTTCTAGTATCTGTTTGAGGACTTCCAGGGTTCCCTGAGAGAAATGGAGACTGGGACTGGAGGCACTGGGGTCCGCCTTTCACATATTCTGGGATTAACTTTCTTAAAGAAGAAAGGAAGGAAAAAAGGTCCCCCACCTCAGGATAGGGTGGGGTAGATGCTCTGAACAGACCAGAATCTCTCAAGCGTTGAGATGCAAGTTGGTCTCTGTTGTCTGGTTCAAGCTCTGATTGAGCCCTGAGGTACTAGATCCAGGGTATATTTGAAGACAAGGAATTGATTTCAGAAAGGGGCCACTGAAAAGCTGCATTGACTAGGGACCCACTTGGTGCCGTTTGCTGGAAAGTGATGAGGAGGCCATTACTGCTCTGAGGAGCTCTGGGCTTGCCTTTGGGAAGGTTGGTCAGAGCTGAGTGGGGAGCCTCACCCCACTGCTGCAGAGGCAGAAGCAGCCAGAAGGTCACAAGTGGAAGTGGAAGCAGCAGTTGCTGGCTGAGGCCCGGGGAGGTGGAGTGGAGGACAGCTTTGGCCTCCACAGGAGCCCAAGGGGAGAGCAGAGGCTGGAGGTCCTTGGGGGTTTACAGGGAAGTGACAGTCACAGGCCCTTGAGAACTACTCCTCAGTCTCACTGGGGACTTGCAAAGAGCAGGTGTGACTGGGGAAGTGGGGTGTTTGGGGGCCACCCCCCTCACTGGTTCACTCATCCATTCAAACATTTGCCAAGTACCTGCCGTTGCAGGACACCTCAGAAGTGACAGACCTGCCTGTGGAAATTCTGGATTTCCCAAACTCTCCAATATCCTTGCATGACTGACCCACCACAGTCACCCGCTGGATTTTCTCAGAATTTGCCGGTCCACCTGCAAAAATCCCCATTGCGTGGCCTGGCCCAGCTGAGATGGAAAGCCCCTCTCCACATGACTTTCTAAAGAAAATGCGTGAGACAAAACATCGCGGTTGGGGGAATGTGTCTGTAATGTGGAGAAACCTGAGCAGGTTATCCTCACCAGTGAGGGACTGATGGCCATCATGTGTCTCCAGGTGTGACACCTGAGGAGGACACATCACCTGTGCAGCCAGAGTCGGGGGCTGGGGAGGGGGGTTCAAGCACTGCCACTTGTAAGCCCAGGCTGGGAGGGCAGCCATTCTAGAAAGAAGCCACCCACTCTGTCCTTTAGCCATCTTCCAAGTAACAGCAGTAAGGAGACAGGGCTATGAGGCTCTGGGGTGAAGTCTTTCCACCTCCACGCCTTTTTTGGATAGCCTGTGTGTTCCTTGTAAACAAGTATTTTGGACACAAATGTCCTCCAAGTGGGAACAGAGAGAACCCAGTTTGGCAATGTTGGACAGTGATGCTGATCTCTCATCGACCTGGACTCCCAAGGGGAGCTGAGGACAGATAAGCGTGCAGGGGCAGTGTCCTGGTGTCCCCTGCAACCAGCCTGTGGGCAGACAGTCTTCCAGTGAGAGCTGGCCCAGGATAGTTGTGGCTGACCCATCAGGCGGAACAGGGAAGCTGAGAGCCGAGGAGGCTGCTTTCTGAAAGGCAGCGTGGGCTGCTGGTCAAGGCAGAAAGTGCTGCCTGAGGGGGAAAGGTAGCATGAAATGGGACAGGAAACAGGACCGGGGGCTGACCAGAATGGGGGTTGCTGGACAAAAGCTTTCCTCTGCCCACTCCTGAGGTTCCCCCTGCCCTCAGCCAGCCCCTGTGGACTGCTGTTGAGGAGGTGGACACAAAGAGGAAGGCCTGCATTCCTGTGGGCGCACAACACTACAAGACCATGGACTGCGTCTGTGTGGTGGGAACAGGAAAAGGAGGCTGAGTCTAGCCCCAGTTGGGATTTAATGTCTACCACAGATGTTCCCACTACCCAGGGCCAAAGACTCAGCAACCTCAGGTCAGTGGAGGCTGTAAACAAGGCCTAGAAAGGGTCAGCACCCTCCCCTGAGTGAGGGGTGACACATGGACATGACAACTAGTTGAGTGATGGAGGACAGAAACACACTGGGAAATAAAATGCAGATGGTGTAATGAACAGCATCACAGAAAAGGGTCTGTGTGATATTGTGAAATATATTTGGCCTTTGTCCCAGTCTCCTGACATACAACTCCTAAAATCCTTGGAATCTCCAAACCGATGAATGTCTTTTGTATGCTAACGAGTTGACTAATGGCTGGCAGCCCCGAGGTAGCTTCAGGAAGGGGCTGGTCACTAGAAAGACCAATCCAGGATTAGAGTGTTGGGACTTTCAGCCCCACCCCCGACCTCTGTGAGGGGAGAGAGGCAAGGGGCTGAAGGTTAAGGTGATCACCAGCACCCCATGATTCAATCAATCATGCCTATGTAATGAAGTTTACATAAAAACTGAAGAGTGCAGGATTCGGGGAGCTTCTGAACCTGTGGCGGTTCCTGGGCGGTGGCAAGGCCCTTCTCCACACCTCCCCCACTCATCTCTTCATCTGTATCCTTTGTAATATCCTTTATAATAAATGGGTAAACGTGTTTCCCTGGGTTCTGTGATCTACTCAGCAAATTAACTGAACCCAAGGAGGGGGGTGTGGGAACCCCACTTTATAGCCAGTTGGTCAGAAGCACCAGTAAAACAACCCGTAGCATGCAACTGGCATCAGAAGTGGGGAGAGGGGGAAGTCTTGAGGACTGAGCCCTCAACCTGTGGGACTCACACTATCTCTAGATAGATAGTGTCAGAATTGAGTTGGAGGACACCCAGCTGGTGTCCACTGAAGAATTAGTGGCCTGCTTGCTGATGGGGGGAGATCCCCACACATTTGGTCACAGAAAAAGTTTGTCTTCTGTGTTGATTGTTGCTGAGTAACCCAGAAATTTCAGTGTGGATTTAGCGTGTCCCCTTCTAGTTCCTTCTCTGAAAAGTGGAAGTTTTGGACCAGCTAATCTCTAGGGACTCACCAGTTTTAGCATTTTAGAGGCACTACAGATACAGACAGTAAACTGCACAAATGTCAGGTGTAAAGTTGATAGATTTTCACGTATGTAACCACCACCAATTTCCAGCATTCCAGAAAGTTCACTTGTGTCCCTTCCTGGTCAAACACTCACTTCCACCCTAGGTAACCCCATTCTCACTTCTAAATTCACAGAAGAGGGCAAAATCGCCTTTTCCTTTCAATACTTGAGAACCACTGCAATAGAGAAAGGACAGTTTTAAAAAACACCAACCAGTGTTCTTTCTCTCCCTCCCTCCCTCTAGAAGGAAGAGATCAGCTTTCCAACACAATCAAGCTGGATTGAGTGGGCCTGCTTAGTCCACAATAGGCACTTTAATCTTGGCAACCACGTAAACCAAAACTAAAAACCACACAGTTTACTCTAGTGAAAGATAAACTGAAAGGCATAAAAAGAAAATCTGGGAAAACAGAGGTAAGAGGATTCGGAGGTAACAACGAGGGAGGAATCATCTTCATCAGTTCCCGTTTGTGAGCGGACACGTCAGCCACGGCTTCCCCACATGAGTGACTCAACAGCAAACATGAGGCCGTAGCTAACTTTCTGGGGTCTAAACTCCAAACCCAGTGTTTTCAGGAAGTGTCCCTAAACCAAAGTCCATCTCATTTTGTGAACATACACATGCATACACACAACTTTACTCCACTGTTTTATTAAATCAGACAGTTTAAAATGCATGATGTTCTGGTATTTATCATTTTCTTACTGGATCCATTTTACTAAAAAAGAAAAAAAATATATATATATATAAAACATTTTTAATATATCTTAGGAAAATTAGCAAAAAAATTAGGAAAGTTGACCATATTACATTGTACAATGTTTAGACAAGAAGTATGTCTGGAAATTATATTTGGTTCCCTCTCAACATAGCACATCACAAAAATACATTTTTAAAACTTTTTTTCATGCATAATTCCTGTAAATGATCATATGCCTACTTATTAAGGAAAAGGCTTGGTTATGACAAGCACTCCAATACTCCTGAAATTTCTTGTACAGTAATTACAAAAGTAAACCAAGGGATCTGTCAGCACTTTGACAGTTGAAACCAGTTTACATATTAAGAGGAATTCAGTTAATATCAAAATATTCCAAATGGAATTTATTTAGTTCATTTTGTGCTGTCTTTGACTCATAAGAAACTCTCTCAGCCAAAGCATTGTTTAAAAGGACTTTTGCCTGCTGGAGATAGTGCCACTAAAGCAAAGATGCAAATCAGTAATACTATGCATTAAATAGAAACCTTCAGCACAACCACATACTTAATTGCTTGGGATAGTCAAGTTCCACATGTGGGCAGAGAGCAGGCCGTCCTCGGGCGCACTACCCTGGTCAGACAGTGAGGGGCTGGTGGGGAGCAGGGCGAGAGCAGCTAAGCCCCAGGTCGTGTTTTCACTGCAGCTGTGGCACCAGCCAGGTTTAAGGACATTCTGCAAAAGTGCGTGGCCTATTTCACCACTTCCCCGAAGTAGAAATAGACTTATTCCATCACCACCCACCCCATGCATGGGCTATTTGACTCCCAAGCCCACACTGTTTCCATGCCAGAGATTTCACATCCGTCATTAGCTTCTTTGTCAAGTATCTTTTCCTCATTCTTTATAAGGGATACTGGAGTCCCCTGGTGTGATGTGTAATCAAACCACAGGAGAGGGTCCATCCCTCCGCTAGGTCTCCTTGGTCTAATATACCTGCCAGCTACTGAATAAAAATGACAATATTGGTAAGTGGCTGGGCAGAAATCAACACCCAAATTAGCTGTTAAGTTTCAAAGGCACATGATACGAATATACTTTAGATAATAATCAAAACTTTATAAAGACAACTATGAGAGATTATTAAATAAAGGCACATTTTTATTAAACAGCCAAAATCCTTAAGACAAATTTCAAAAGACCATTTCACTGGCAAATATTTTCCAGTCATAAAAAGTGATAATTTATGGGATTATATTCCAGTTTCCTCTCCTGTAAATAAATACATACATTAAAATCTCTAAAATCATACACTCTAGATGTGTATATCTTTTGGGGAAAGCTTCCTTACTACTTTTATGCAAGCACTAGAGTAAGAATGCATGAGGTTCTCTGTTCTTACTGAATACTTGTAGAGAGAGCACTTTAACCATTCCACTGAATTCTGCCTTTTTTGCAACTGAATTATCCTCATATTTATTTACAATTTTAAGCATCATTGCTGTCCACAGAGTTACTGCTGCTTATCCTTATAACCAGCATTGGAAGGCTTAATTTCATAAATATTATTCTCAATCCAAAGATAGATCATGTATGAAAACCTTCCTCAATACCTCTTTCAAATCAGATGCATAGACACTATGATCCTAATTTCTCTGTTATTTTTACTGCACATTCTCTCCACTGTCACCCATGGAGAAAGGAGAAAAGCAGAAATTCTGCCACCTAACAAAGGCTAACATCATAGCTTGGCTAATATAATGACATGCCATCATCTTTATAACATTTTGAATCTAACTAGCAGACATACAGTCAATTTCTCATTGCCCATGTGCATATAATCTGCTTTATAAATTTTCCAATTTTTATTTCAAACTAGCTTCTTTCTACCACTCAACATAATCCTTTCACAGCCTGGCATATACTTGGTAGCACATCACTTGCTAGAGAGAGAGAGAGAGAGTGTGCAAGAAAGAATCAGGTTGAAGAGCATGAGCCAAGGGAATGTTTTTCTGAGGTGAGGGGAAAGGAGATGGGAATGACACACGCCGAGTGTATGAAGCTTAGAGAAAGAAATGTCTTAGTAGAAGCTAGAAAACCTCCACCAACCAGATCACATTCCAGAAGGACAACCAGAAAATGGCAATGACTCCATGACTTCTCCTTCAGAGTCAAGGGGCATGGAATGGCAAGCAGGCTGGCCAATCTAGTTAAAAAACACATACTCAGAGAAGGAAACATGCTGCCAAAGGGAAGAGCTGACACCAGTCCAAAGAGGTTCTGATTACCAGTGATCCTGAGCAGCTATACCTCACTCCCCTCCAAACACTGCAGATGACGGAGTTGACTGGGCTGTCTCTATGCTTTCTCATTCAGAAAAGAATCTGACAGAGCTAAAAGGTAATTTTCAGAAGCTGTAGTTTTCAAAGAAAGAGTAAATAAAGGGCTTGACAATATTGACTTTTTTTTCTCTTTTCAGGGAAGCCCTTACTTGCAAAAGCATAAAGAAGGCTTCCTTAGAAAATTGACCCTGAAGGAAGAAGATTTAGAAGCAGCAAAGCCAGTTTCTTTTGTCTTTAGCATAAAGCTCGCCAGCCACGCTCAGTATCTACATAACTGACACGGCTTCTGCCACATTCGGTCATTCCGTGTTTTTTTTTCCTTTCCAGTTCTTCTCTCTCTCTTCAAGTTCTGCCTCGGTGAAAGCTGCAGGCCCCCAGTTAGTGATCAGGTGAGGGTTCTTTGAACCTAAGAGACAAACATGCTTTAAGTACAGGAAGTATTAAATTCTGCAACTTATAACAAAATAGTAACTTTTCTACTTTATTTCTTCCTTGAGGAGCATCCATACCAGCCCAAACAACTAGAGGCTGTATACAAAAGGGATTAACTAGCCCATCTTACCTATCAGAGAGTATGTTATTCAAAAGAAATTTACCCTAAATAGCTTGGTTTTTGTACATTTGAGCTAAAAAAAAAAAAAAGGGTTTTTTTTAGTACAATTCAAATATGCAAAAATAAATTTAAAATAAATATAAAGAATCTGTGCTGGCTGGTTAGCTCAGCTGGTTAGAGCATGGTGCTGACACCACCAAGGTCCAGGGCTTGACCCTTGTACCAGCCAGCAAAAAAAAAAAATAAAAAAATAAAGAGTCTGCTACCTGGTTCTATTAATCGAATTAATCCCTCATGATGGGCCACTTTGTCCTTCCAGCTCTTGGTCATATTAGTTGCCATCTCCAGTTTCTTTTTAACTTCCTGAAACAAAAGTGAATTTTGGACTGTGAAGACACACAGGTAGTTGAAGAACCAAGTAACAATGACTGGGCATTTACTATACGCTGTGGATTACCTCTTTAAATCCTCACAGCCGCCCTAAGAAGCAGGAACTATCCTCATTGTACAGAGTGGAAACTAGGATTCAGAGACGTTAAATAACTTGCCAGAGATCACACAGGAGAAAGCAGTGGAGCCGGGATCGAAACCCAGGCCATGTGATTCCAAAGTCTGTCCTTCTCCCACCCATATTTACACTAATTACAGATGAATTAGTCTATCTTGTGAGATTAGATCTTGTGTGCCAGTTACAGTTAACTGCCTCTCAGCTCCAAATCCACCCTTGACTGTCCTACTTATGACACTGGAATAATACTCTCTGTAGTTGGCACCATTTAAGCTTTGTCAGTAGAGGGCGCTGAAGGAAAACAAGGAGGAAGAGCTATTTTTCCAGGTTCCACTCAGTGAGCTTCTGTGGCACTCAGGACACCCCTGGTGCTCACCCAGTGAATCCTGCTGGCACAGCACCTCAGCAGACTTTTCTGCCGTCCGTGGGCCCACTGCAAGAAGGTGTGGATCACAGCACTGGAGTTTAGGGTGAGGAGCAAGGGACCCTCTTCCAGATTTGTTCCTTCTCTGGGGTCTCTGCCTCAGTCCTAGAGGCTGCTTCCTATATCTGCTATTCCTGCATTCTTAGTTTTTTTTACAGCTTAATATGTAATCGCCTGTTATAGCTAATCATTTCTTATATTAAACTTTCCTGTTTGAATTACTGTGTGGTTTCTGTCTTCTGACTAGATTCTGACTGACACACCTTATCTTCTGTAAAAACTTACACCTCCTTCTCACAGCTAATCAAAATTCTTACTACAGCTTCATTCTGACAGCTAAGCAAATATTCTATTACTGAAAAATGTTTTTTAAAAATTTAAATACACAAGTTTTCAGGGATGAGTTTAATCACCTCATACTGCTCAAGTGCTTGTTTCCGCTCTAACTCGAGCTGCTCCAGCTGTTCCATCGCTTCCTGAAGGGCCCGCTCCTTCATGATGCGCTGATTCTCCAGCTCCTGCTTCTCTGCTTCAGTGGTCTGAATGGCCTGTTGCTGCTCCAAGTGCCACTTTTCTAGTTCAGCCCTCTTAGAAGACTCCTCCTCCAACAACCTACGATGTGGAGGAGAACTTGGGGTCAAATTCTGCCTGCGTCACCACACCTGACCCAGCAGATGAGGGAGGCATTTTAGAGAAGAGAGTGTTTGTGGTCATTTTACGAGGAGGAATCTAAGAGCCAGAAAAGCTCATATTCACAAAGCTGGTAAAGTGGCCCATGTGTCCTGCTCCAAGGCTCTCTTGGTTTCATCCCATTTTGAAAAAAAAAAAGAAAGAAAGAAAGAAAATTTATGCACAGCTTAATGTATGCTGGGAACAGAGATAAGAGTCAAGTGTACTTTCTCAATTAATCCTCACCATCAACTTAGTGCTATTATTATTCACATTTTAGAGGTGAAGAAAGCGAGGCACAAAGGTTAAGAGTTCTGTACTAGGTCATCCACTTGCCAGGTGGCAGAGCCAAGTTTTGAAATCTGCCTGGTTGCTACAACATTAAAACACTTTTCACCTAGTAAAAAATCTATTACCAAGGAAAAAGCTGATAATTAAGGTAATGAATATGAAGGGAGAAGGAGCTAACCAAGGCAGATTAATATTTTATTTTTGAAAAATTACTACATGCCAGGCACTTTAGCTACATTATTGCTAATACCCCAACAATCCTGCAAGGTATTATCACTAAGTTACAGATGAAGTGACGGTAAATCACAGGTTTTAAAAAAGTATGTTGCACAGGTCATAATGGATTTCAGCCCAGGTCTGTGTGACTCCACAATGTTATCTTTCAATAAGAGGCCACCTGTTTGAGAATATCCGACTATGTAGGTATTTAAACAAACTAATATACAGCCCAAACCTGCACTCCAACTGTTGATACCAACCCAGGAAAGGATACATATCTAGTGGTGTGGTCATCAGTATTGTGGTAACAAGCCACACCAAGTCAAGTTACATGGCAGGTATGCTCTTCTAAAATCAATAACAAAGGGAATAAAGTAACAGATGATACAGCCCTTATCCAACCATCCCCAATTGCTCCATCCCCAGCCCTGCCCCCCCCACCCATACCAATGTCAGAATTCCCTCTACAACCCCCCACAAGGTGGTTATCCAACCCTGCTCCAATACTCCAGGTGATGGGCTACCAACACTCACGAATCAGGCCAATTTATTTATGGGCCGTGTCAATCCTTAGAAAGTTCTTCCTTATTCTAAGATGAGCTCTCCCATCCACTATGCCTTGTTCGACAAAAGACGAATCTGCTCCTCTTCCCCATTATAGTCCTTCAGCAACTGGAAAGCAGCTCTTGTTTCCCACTGACAACACCCTTCATCAAGTAGACCATTCCCACCCCCCGCTTACCGGGACCCCGCTTCCAGTCTCAATATCATTCTAGAGACACGTTCCAGATCCTTAGATGTCTCTTGGAGTATGATGTCCACAACTGAACTCAACACAGCAAATGTGGTCTGACCAGTGCAGTTTTTCTTCATTCATTCACGATGTATTTATTATGTACCTTCTATGTGCATTTCCAGCACTGGGGATACAACAGTGAACAAGACTGGAAGAGCCCCTGTTTTTTCATTCTAGTGATAGGGGAATGGACATTTGCAGGTGTTTAGGCTGCCCAGTATCTGAACCCCCTTCAGGTGTCTAGAGAATGTGCCACAGAAGGAGTCTTAATGGAAGGTAGAGCACATCTCCCACTCCCATCTCCCAGGCACCTGCCCTTCCACCCCTGAGCAGCCAGGGTGCAGTGGAAGCATGAGCTGGGCTTGGCTAAGCAGATGACCCTTCTGGAACTTTGACTTTGAAGCAACTGACACAGAGGAGCAGAGACAGTGGAGACTTTATCTTGCTGTTAGCAGCAACATCCACTGTCGAGTGACAGCCAGTACCAAGGCTGGTATCAGTGGCATTCTCTTTCCACAGGACTCTTCCCATGGCCTGGTTTGGGCTATAGTTTGGGCTACTTGTCCTTCTTTGGTTCCTGACTGTGTTTAAGGCCTGGCCACTGCCTTTCTGTGGAATTGGTAAACTATTTAAGAAACTTCCCATTAATTATTTTATTGCTTCAGCTAATCCAAGTTGGGTTCTGTGGTTTGCAAACATGACCTCTGTCTAAAGACTTCAGTGCCTCACTCTCTTTCCATGCCTCGGCTTCCTCACTTATAAAAAAAGAAATAGGAGACTATACCTACCATCAGAGGTTTGTTGATGTATTAAATGTGATAATGTGTGTAAGGAGGTACTTACATGCCTACCACATAGCAAGTGGTGAGTAAATAACAGCTCATATTATTACAGTGGGACTATTACCTCATTTGCTCTGGACACTTCACATTCATTAAGGCTGTGTAAGAGTGTATGAGGTTTTTGGCATCCACATCACATGGAAGTGAAACCTTCAATCTTTTCAAATGAATTGCTATTCAGCCAAGTCTCCTGGACCCTGTACTTGTTCTGTGGATATTTTAAATATTTTCATGGTCTAAAAACATTCTTGCCTATCAACATCTTTTCTGAACACTTATTTTGACATTCTATACATTATATAACTTGCTCATTTGCAAATGAGATAAAAGAACAGAAAGCAACACATTCTTGACTACCAAATGCCAGACATTACAGTAAACACTTTGCATTATCTCATTTCATCTTCACAATAACCTTACAAAGTTGGCAATTGCCCTTATTTTATTGATAAGGAACTGGAGGCTCAAAGTAGTGAAACAAATTCTCTGAAGTTACACAACTAGAAATACCAGAGCTGGGAATCGAACCCAGACCTCACTCCAGAGCCCAGTGCCTAACTGCCTTCAAACACACGAAATGTATCACACTTCTGAGAGTGAGGCACTGAAGTCTTTAGACAGAGGTCATGTTTGCAAACCACAGAACCCAACTTGGATTAGCTGAAGCAATAAAATAATTAATGGGAAGTTTCTTAAATGGATCCAAGTTCTCCCCATTGGGGCCACATGGAAGAGAGACTGTTGTTCCATGTGGCCCCAATGGGGAGAACTTGGATCCATTCATTTATTCAAAAAATATTCCTTGGGCACTTACTGTGTGTCAGACACTGCACTAAATTGCTAGGAATACAGACATGACTAAGGTATGCTCCTGGGCCTCACAAATCCAAAACTTTAGTGGGTGAAAGTTATAATGGAGATTATGGCTCAGCCTCAAGAACTTTTCAATAACTTGAGTTTTCCAAATGTTAAATGAATGGTTTCTTCTGAGTTTAGAAGAGGCTAGATAACCTTCAGAATAACACATCAAAAAATAAACTTCAATTTTAATAACAAAAATTACAAGACCCAGCTGGCTTAAACCAAAGTGCCTGTATTTAAATAATTTACCTTAAAAACCATCTCTGGGGAAACTTAAGGCACTGACAGAGAATGGACCATCCATTAGAAGAACAATGAGATGTCAAATAGTCCAAGAATGACTTCCTGTTGCTTTAAGAAAGGACGAAGGAGAGTTAACTAAAAAGCCCTTTACCTATACCCTTGGCCTAAGATTATGTTTCATTTCATTATCATTAGTGCCAATGTTTCTAAATCAACTCCATCATAAGGAAACAGAGTAAGGCTAGGCCTATGAACCAAAGTGACTCCATTTTCCCTGCAGAGGACACTTTGTTACTTTTCTACTCCTCAGTCATAAGACCCCCAGGGCAAATGATTACCCCATGGCCCACCCTGATAAAATAGACTAAGAGAAAAGAGAAGAAACAGATATTCACTGAGTTGCAAAACCTCTACCCAAGACTTTTTTACTGTAATTGTTAAAATTAAGTTACAGATTAACCTTAAGACCCCTTCAGGAATTCCCGCATGCGAGCAAAGCTTCCAGGTGACCCCTACAATGACCCTCCTGGGGTGACAATGATGAACACCACCACCATCTTGGACCTACAGAGCAGGCTCAAGGACCAAAGCCCTAAACAAGCATGCGCCCATGATACAGCCAGGAAGAACAGAATGGACCACCTCCAGTGATGCTGGCCTGTACCCCTTAACTCCTTTCCCTATAAGACCCTAAACAGCTCCCCTCAGGGGGCTAGCTTTACTGTCTCTACATGCCTTATGCATAAGTCTTTCTCCTCTTTTAATAAAGCACTGCTTGCCTTACCGCTGGGTACACTGTTCATTTCTATGACTTTGGGACCCAAGAGCCTAATTCAGTCACCAGTGAAAATTGGAAAGCTTTGGCCACCAGAGAAGACTCCATTTGCAAGAGGCAAGTGGCCACTGGGACTATTTTGCTCCCGTCTCTGCTGCTGGTAAGTCTCTCCTGGAGCCCCAGCCTAAATTCTGACAAGGCAATGCTTTATTCTCTTTTACTCTCCTTTCTTCCCCTTTTCTTTTCTTCCTCTTTAAAGTGACTGCCAGACAACTACAACTTAAACTCCTCTCAACCTGTGAGAAGCATGCTCCCTCCGCCAGCAATGGCTTGCCCTGACGGGTGACTAGCAAAGGTGGGAAGGCCAGTCCTATACCGTGAAGATCTGGCTTGAGCAGATTCCCCAACAGGGGATTTATGAGAGTGATGGGGATTCCCACGCCGCACAGTGACTGGCAGTCCGGAAGCTACTCAAATTCTCTTTACCTTTCTCTGATTTTCTGAGTCCTCTTCTGCTGCTTGGTTGGATTGTATCTGCTACGATGTAGGTGCACCCTGGAGGGCTCCTGGCTATGCTTTGTTTCTCTGATTTAAATCTAGTAGGTACTTTTCTTGTTTGTGCCGCAACAGTGGGGACAACTGCTTTCATCAATTACTGTGTCAGTGGAATAGGTTGGCCCTCCCGACTGGGTCTAGGATAAAGTGGACCCCACTGCCCCTCTTTTCTCTTTGTTTGTTTGCTTGGTTAGACATTTAGTTGAGTACCGGAAATCTGCATAAACCTTCCAATCCTTGAACCAACTTTTGGATTTTCGAGTCATTCGTTTAGTGCAAGAGGGCAAGCTGAGCCTGGTCTGTTGGTAACAATAACTTCCCTTGTTTTTTATACCCAGAAAGGCCTATCATGAGGAGCAAGGAACAAGCAAGCCACCTTTGCCAATCTGACAGAATGTCTCTCTGAATCAGGCCCAGCCTTCAGTGACTTTGGGAAAGAGAGAAATTTGTCACACTTAAAAATAACCACTAGAGGGGGCAAATTTGTCCATTTCAAGTTCCAAAAACCTAGAAGAAAAATGATTAATAATAGTAAAATACTTATATTCATGAAATGGCCTTTACACACCCAGAAAAAGTTAAATTTTTGTGCAGTACTTTCAGCTTATTGGAATAGAACTATATGTAGTAGTTATGTTTGCATTCAAAAGGTTGAAGCCATTTCGCTATTTGATTAAATCAGAGTGTACGAAATAATTAGCTGGAGCTTTTTAAATAACAATACTCGTGCCTGGATCCTATCCACAGAGATTATGATACAGCAAATCTGGGAGAGACCCCACACTGTATTTTTTTAAAGCTTTATAAAGTGATTTTGATATATATCACTGGTTAAAAACTACTGGCTTCAATTATACAAAACTATCCCTTATTCAAAACATCACTCATTCTATAAACACTAAATAACTGAAACTTTAGTACATTTCTAGAGTTATCTGGTTCCCTTTGTCATGTTATAATAAAATTCCCTCAAAACTGCAGTAATACATATAGCAGTGAATTCTCACTTGTGAATTCTCTGCACAAGGACAATCTATAAGCTCCCAACATAGCATACATTATCAAGTGGCTCAAAAAATATTTAGTGTCACTTAGAATGGCACTCTCTGGAAGTCATATGGGACTCGAACTTTCCCATACAGTGGGTCTTCCGCCAACATCACTCGCTGCTCAATGGCACTGGAAGGTAGTTCCAAGAATCTGGTAACACCACAGTGAAATGAACACACACCTGTGGGGCTTATAAATGCCAGGCAACATGCTAAGCACCTAATTTTCTCTTTGGAAGATCATTTTTTTTCCTTAAAAGAATCTAAATTTTCAAAACCAAATTAATTTATTTTATTATTATTTTTTTTAATTAGATCATTTTTTTTCCTTAAAAGAATCTAAATTTTCAAAACCAAATTAATTTATTTTATTATTTTTTTTTTTAATTATTATTTTTTTTTGTCTTTTTCCGTGTCCGGCAACAGATCGCAACCCTCAGTGTTGCCCCCGTACCG